ACGCTCGAAACCTCAGCTTTTATAATCATAATGGTGGCCAATTTACCATTTCAACTTTGTTGATATATTCAAATTATTTCGTTACCCCTACCGACATAGCCCCAAACAGTTTCTTTAGAAACTATCAGCCTTTATACATCCTTATTAACCTAATATGTTACTGACAACCATACATAACTGTAATAGCATTAAAAAATATAATTCTTCTCTCAAAGAAATATTTAAGTAAAAGGTATGTTGTTATTGATATTCACTTCACCTGTGAGTTGAACAATCACTTGTACTGGAACGAGGGCTTGTTGATGCACTACGTGACCTTAAACTAAACCAAGCAGATAAATTATTTATGAAATGCTCTTTAATCATTGATTTATTTTCTGCTGCTGAGCAAATAAAAATTTATATCAGCTCTTCTATGGAGACTTCACATATGTTTTGGCTGAGATCAGTTTTCTGACTGGTAAAATTAAATGTGAGACACTGAAGATGACTCACTTGTATGTGCAGGTTACGGTAGACTGACTTCTTTGTGTCAAAGATGATCGCCTTTGCTGGCTGGGTTTAGATCTGTCAATGGGAAACATCAGTTTACAGTACAATTAATAACATTAAGTGCACAATTTAAAACTTATAAACAGTGGTTAGAATCTGAGATGTGTCAAGTTAATGTTGTTGATGAACAGTTTTTAACTTGAGCCTTTGCATTACCTCTTGTTGTCCACTTCCTTGAGAGTGGTTTGATTGGTTGATCCTTTCCTTTTTCCTTGCACTTTATTTCTGTTGAAAAAATAACTAATTAATAAAAGCATTAACTACAAACTTGCATAATGCAAAAGACATAATAATAATGTTAAGCTGCACCTTAGTTTAATTTAGCCTGTTTAAGTACTGTTACACATAATAGACTGTTCTCTCAAGCAGTTTAGAAGAAGCACGGGCTGATAAGTAAAGTAGAGATTCCCTACTAGTTTCTAGTTAGGTAAAAAGACTTCCTAAAGGTGCTTCTTTTTTTGGTATTTAACACTTAAGAACATAGCCTGTGTTTTCATTCTGTACTTTAACCTCCCCTCTCTTTCCACTTGGCAAGTATTTATGGACCCATAGACCTTAGATTGTTTTCTGACATACTATCTATTGTTAAATTATTGTGATGATGCCTGTTATGGTTGATGCTCATAGGACTGAATTTTGTAACAGGAATTAGTTTGCAGAGCTCCATTGTTTTTACTGTACCGATCACAATTAGATGTTCAAATTGTTAAATGAAAATTCAAACAATCACTTTCCTAACTCCTTAAAAAGTTAAAAATTAAAGTTTTGCATGTTTTCTTTCCCTTAACCTCCTGTTTTGTTAAATTTTGAGACAAATTCTGTCAAGGTCAACATTGTGACAAGGAGGAAATACTTTTTACATGTATTTGATGTATTTGTTGCAACTTTTGCAGCAAGAACACAAATACTGTAAAGACTACCACTTTTATTGAATAGAGAAACACTAGCTAAAGTTGTTGCTCCTAAAGCATTAAAACCATCTGCAAATACAACAGACACCAAAATGCATAATAAATAAAGAGGCTTTTCATCAATGATGGCTCATATAATAAAAGGCTGTCTATGACTGCATGTGCCTACTGTTACATAGCTTTACAATGTGCCAACTTTTTTTTCGTCTTCTATTTCCCTTTTCTTTTCCCTTTTCATATCAATTCAGATTTTCTTTAGGAGATATGTTAACACACATGTGTGAACATTTGCTTATGCAGCTCTAACCAACCAGTTGTCAAAAGAGAGTTTCCATTAATCAAAATAAATTTCCCAAATTGTATGTCACATTTTTAATAGCCTGAAAAGTCTAGAAGGTGCTAAGAAAATGACCTTCTCAAAGCAGTTCAATCAGCTTAATTACCAAACAATCCCCCAATATTTTCCTTATGGAATATCAAGCTTTTTTGGTTAAATGTGTGAAATTTTTTTAAATCTTTCCTGTAGTTAAGCTGTGCTTTAACACATCAGTGCAAACAAATATTTTATGATTGTTCAAACTAGAGGTAGATGGCTCAAGTCTTGGGTAAACAGCACTACGATATGTAGATGGGAAGAGTTATGCAAACAAGCATCATTTGGAAATTCTTTGCAATTCGCATGTATTTCTATACATCAAATGTGCAACAAATTTGTTACATTCTGGGAACAATACAATAGGGATATTATTATAGTGGAATGAAATAGTATCTCAGCTGAGTTATCATGCATATGAGCCTAGTTCATGATGTGATTGTCAAACATGTTTGAAGTATAATCAATAAACTCAACCCACACTGCAGAGATCTCTTTGTTTGCTATCACAAAAGGTACTAAACTTCATGCGTATGACTTTAAAATGTGTTGCTAATACATATGCATGCTGTAAAAGGACAACCTCAAACATCAATTCAATTACAACTTGGATGGCTAATGATGTGTCTAAGAGCTCTCCGTTCAAAATAAAAATTGCAAGAAAAGTTATTGCTAAAAAACCTTTTTCATTTGTTTTAGGAAGCACATACGAATCACCCATTTTAAACACCAGCAGCACAGGCCAATTACACCATGTTCCAGTTGATGTTTGTGTAGTTTACATTGTTCAAGGAACATGAACGCAGATATGTAGCTCTTACCTCTTGCGGCAGGAACTAAAACTGCGACATGTAACAGATGTGAAAGAAGAAAGTAGTAAAGCCCCTTTAAGAATTTAACTCGAGAGCGATGTGTTGTAATCCATCGTGCCAGCCATTGTCCTAAACTTTACTGTGTAATTTTGCTCAAACGTAGAGCCATTGCGGGCTCAAAAGCCATCTAAAAAGAATACATCTGTTATCCTATCCTTTTCGTTATTTCAGACACTAAATAACCCTGACGCTATGAAAATAAACTTTTGACAAGATATTCAAAGAAAATAAATGAAGCGAACCTTTTTCCACGGGTTACCCCTTGTCCTTCTTGTTCAGAACAATCATCCATCCATGTAAGAACCTAACCAGACAGAATGAAAAGATTAGAAAGTGAAGGAGACGCAAACCTTGAAAATGAAAGTGAATAACTCTGTGATTCAAGTAAATTCAAAGTCGGTGTACCTGTTTATTTGTGACCCTTCCTTCTGACTTGTTTCCTTTGTTGCCCAAGTAGTATTTTATCGCCTAAGTCCTTCCGTTCTAACCTCACTTGCGATATATGAAACACAAAACTCCTCGAGACGGAGCAAGACGACAACAGCAACGGAAGATAAATCCAGCGGTATACTTGTATAGGATAGATAACGATTGATTTACGCAATCACGAAAAGTCATCTCTTGAGTCTCGTTCCACTTGAACGCTGGGTAGACGCCGTAGTTTCAAAGAGGAAGTGCAATGTTAGGAATTCAAATATTGATTAAGTGCAAACAAACCCCGTAAATTGATTTTATGGCATAGTCGATATTATTGCCTTGAGGCTTAGAGGTCCAACAGTAGCTAACAGGAAGTGAGATCGCACCATTGCTGCCTTTCTGATGTCATTTCCTTGGCACCAACCAGACTTTAGTAGGATTCGTGCAGAGGAATTGTTGTTGAGCACAGGGGAAAATGGTTCTTTTCTTATACGAGACAGTGAAAGCATTGCGAATGTACACGTCTTGTCTCTATTGTAAGTATCTTTGGATGTTGGAAGTCACATTTTATGTTAAATGTGTGGCAAGTCTTACAAACCGCTGTTACATCACTGCAGGAAGTAACAAATCGATAATTGTACTAATTATTTGGTAACATTCCTGATAATCGAAACGAAGATCCATTACCTGACCTAAAGATTTTTTTAGATTAAAAAGAATGAGAGAACCTCGACCATTACAGCGCTGAACAGGATCGACTTAAAATACATCATTATTGACAGGAGCTCTAGATCTGCTCATCGAATAGCCTGCATAACCAACTATAATCGATTTTGGCAAGATTTCCATATATAACCCCATACGTTAATTATGCATGGAGTGTCGAAAAGAAACCTTTATATTTAGTCTTTATGAAATGGAATGCATAATTAATATATGGCGTTATATGGAAATCTTTCCAAACCTGTTTGAGAACTTTGACTCTTTGACCCAAAGAGTGATCAGTATCTAAGTACTCTTTATATTACCCTTGAATCAAACTTTTAGGTCACGAGAGTAAACGAAATGATCACAAATTAAAGACACTCTTGATTGTAAAACGAATTCTCCTTGTTAACACCCTAGAAAATGTATGGAAAATATTCATACATGCATATACATACATATAGCTTTATTTAAACCCGGATTTAGGATAGTTCAAGAGAGCTAGTATCTCCAAGTATAATTAACATTTAAGAAATACAGCAAAATAAGAAAAAATATATATACATATAAAAATTACATGCATATATATCATTGTCTTTAGTCTCATCTACACAGTAATATTACGAATAGCGCATTTAAAAGCAGTGAGAGATTCAGAAGTTCTTATGTTATCAGGCAGCGTATTCCATGCTTGAGGAGCAGCATATCTGAACAATTGTAATCCATAGGAGCTTGTAGTAACTCTTGGTAGACTGAATTTTAGGGTACCTCTGAGGTTATACGCCATTTTTCGTTCTTCCAGTAGTGATTCGAGATATGGTGGAGCAATTTCATAAAGAGTCTTATACGTAGTGACTAGCATGTTCTGAATAAAAGAAGATTCAAGATTCACAGACCCCATTATTCTAAGTAAAGTTTCATAGTCAAGATTACTATTCAGAACTGCCCTTAAAGCCTGCTTATTGAGTTGTTCCAATTTGTCTTTACAACATTTACTACAAAAGTGCCAAATGTTCACCACAATAATTAAGAGCAGGTAAAATAAAGGCATTATATAACCTTTGCTTGATATTATCACCGATAAGATGCTTAAATCTTTTCACAACTGATAATTGTTTGTTAACCTTGCTACAAATAGATGAAATATGCTTGTCAAAACAGAGTTTGGAATCTATATTAACTCCTAATAGGTCAACATCATCACACTCTTTATTTGTTGTCCAGCAATTCATAGTGATGTTAGGGTGTATAGGGTTATGACAACCAAATTACCAAACGCAGGGTGACTAATCAATCACACTTAATGAACACTGTTTGAATGTTGCAGCTTAAATGCCATCACAGCAAAACTGAAGTGAATTGAAAAAAAACTGTTACAGTGAATTGACTGATAACTCCTTACATGTTCTTGACTGCATGTTGCATATTGGAGAGACCAGCCACTTCAAGGGAATTATAAATCTAACATCACACTTTGTATCCCTATTATATGTGTACAGCTGATTCCAAAGTGTTAGTTATATGCCAATAAATAAGATAGGTGCTTTCTTTTATAATGTACAAACTAAAGGGAATTTTTGCAACAAATTAATAAGGAATAATGCTTTTTAGAAAGGAAAAAACTGCATGAGGAATTGTGATAGGGAAATCTAGTGTAATATTTTATACTCAACTCTTTTTTTTAAAGATAAGCTGATGGGTTGTATCTTTTAATAGGCACGAGGGCAGAATTCATCATTATAGAATTTTGAGAGAAGAAAGCAATGGCAACTTTTACATGCAGGTCAGTAGATAATAAAGTGTGCCATGATCATGTACGTTTCTTAGTGAGAAAGAAGACATTCATTAGACAGAACTTCTTCTCTAATTTATGATGTTTATTATACTCTGTGTTAATGTCCTGTTACGTGCATGAATGACCAACAAATGTCCGCTAACAAAGCATATATGAAAATAGACTCCCGAGTATGATATACGGCACGCAACAAAAATGTAACAACAAGCAGTTACCCATTTTAACCATTATTTGATTAGTTTTACATTGTTTAATCTACTTAGGTTAGAGATTAAGTTAAGCAGTTCATAAAGCAGGCTTACAATCCTTTATGCCGTAGAAGTGTTCATCGTCTTGATCAACCTCTAATTCCAACTTCCACCGACTGAAAACAACAGCGCTTGGCTTTCTTGATTCATGGCTTTCTTTCCGTGTACACAAACTCTTGCAGAGGACTCCATAGTAAACTCTGTATTCTCTATCTTCTTCCTCTCTCGACTATCGTATTTCTCATCTCTTTCCTCTCTCCAGATATCGCAAGGTCAAAGGTCATAGCCTTGTCACATCATAGCTTCCACAACTTCAGTCAGCCGGCCACGAGGGTATGCCCTCGGGCAAATCTCCTTTTGTACTTCTCACAAGCCAGCTTTTATACGTTTACTTTAGTTATCTAGAATGTTCTGTTACTATTTATAGCGTATTACAAGTTGTACTATTTTTGGAAACTGCTGAGTCACATGAAAGAAGTTTCTGGAATATTATAGATTATAGATAATTCTAGAAAAGTCTGGGATTGCGTGACAGATTCAGTAAAAATAATTCGATCCTCGTAACAGTCCATATATAATTAAATGTTATTTTGTATTGCGTGATGAATATCAAAAGTTGGCTCAGCTCTAGTTGATGGGTTTGGGAGTTTAAAATGTGTTAAGCAGGAATGCAATGAGTAAGGGGTAGCAGGAATACTTCTGCACCCCTCAAAGGATATCAACTAACGCCCTAGATAACCCAGCTATGCCGCAGGAACTTCAGGAGACAATCAACCAGCTGAGCTCTAGTGCAGGACTTAGAATGGATTGCTAAATTCCCCAGAGCTTTAGAAAGCAGAGAAGCACCTAAATTTTTAATTTAATGTGCCAGTATTGTCAGTTAGTAACAGGACCCAGTTTAAGGTTCTTCTAGGTTGTATTTAGCTGACTTTTCAAGCAATTATGAACATTAGTTTTAATTTAGGCATTCAAGGATCTTATTTTACCTCATGCATATCATATTGAAGATTTTTATTTTTGTAGGGATTGATTTATCTTAAGTCTAAGCAATTGCTATTCCTATCTTTAGCAGTTGTGAACTAATCAGAATTCAAGGGGTTTTTTATGCACTAAAATTAAGTTATTGATAAATCATCTATCTCTATCTGTCTCTACTTTATCATAATTATATAAGTCAAGTTTACAAAAAAACATTTAATATACAAGTCTGCATTTATCACTGAATAGTCTTTTGGATATCTGTTTACTGACCTTTACTAATAACAAATAAATGGTTACATTTTATGCATAATGTTGTGGCAACATAAGCTCTATGATTTAGTTTGTGTGGTTTGTTTCTATTGTTCTGGATACAACTTTATTTACTGTTTAAAAACTGATGTCTCAGGGGATTTCAAACTCTCATAATCAACAACCTTCATTTGCCACAAAGGTGTCATAAGGTAGATGTCCATAAACCTTCTCTGTTCAGAGACCCAAGCAGTTTCCTAAGGAAAAAGTTTGTGAGCTTTGATAAACAGATAATGATTAAGGGCAAATATGCAATGGTAATAATAAGAATATTTATTACTTCTGTTGCGCCTTTTCTATACAATATTCAAAGGCGCATCACAACACTTTCAGCAGTTTACAATCACCAATCAAAGGAAACTTATTTGAAGATGCCTCCTACCCTCCTACTCCTACTTAATAGATGCAGGAGACACAGGACCTATGGTTTATTCATCCTTATCTGAGAAGACTAGAATGTCAATCTGTTTCTTGACATTATAGAAAGGTAGCACATTCTCCTCAGTCATTTTAAGACCTTGAGTGTTGGTCCGGCCAGGGCTCGAACCCTCAACCTCCTGCACAACAGTCCAGCACTCTAACCAATTGAGCTAACCGGCAGGCAGCCACAAGTCAAATGGATGTTATTTTGTTCAATTAGTACCCTTCAAACAATTTTACAATGTGTAAGATAAATTAATATTGTTGGCAAAAAAATCTAAGGGAGAGCATTACAGGTTGCATCGATGATGCATTTCTAGTAACCAGATGCAAGCAATCACACATTTGGTTCAAAATATGAATGTAACTTGTTTTCATTGCAGGCAGTTCCTGGGGTGTCTCTTCAAGGTTTCAGCAAGTTAGAAGACCTGGTGACATTTTACAGTCAGGGAAATATGGGTCTGCCATGCGAGTTACGGCACCCTGCTGTGCTAGAGGATAAAGATGTTATTGATGATGACTCTGGTAAAACTAACATCTGTAATAATAAGTAGTTATTACCTTTGATAAAGGTATTGTCTGTCCTATATTGTAGAAGATCACAACTTAAAAATACCCTAATGAATTATTGACTTGGTTTGACTTTGTCCACTTCTCATGTTATTGGTTCCAAGCATTTAACCTGAGAAAACTCTAAGTAATTTGATATGCAAGATGATACAAGGCCATTTAATAAGTGACATATCAATTAATAATCACGGCATGGTGCACAATTTCTATGGTTTGCTGTAAAAGATGGAATATTTTCCTTTTCGACTTTCATGTCAATTGATTTTAAGATTGTCATTAAAGCTTTAACTCAATATGTTTGACTTATTTCAGACGATGAAGATGATGATCTTGATGAGCCAGATGGGAAACAGATTGGAAATGAATATGAGTTTCCCTCCCAGTTTATGCCCAATGTAGATCAGTTAGATTCAGGAAGGTACTTTCAATTGCAGTTGAATAACTTTAACATACGTGTACCTCACTTCCTAGAGACCTCTTATTTTTATCAAATATGAAGATATAGCGGTGCATATATGTTTTGTCTCTTGCATGCATGAGATGCATAAGATGTTAGTATAAGATCCAAATGGAGCATCAAGTCAGTGATGTTGATTGAATTGTCTTCTTTACTGGGACAGAGGCAATCTATACACCAGGGTTCCTTCTTCACGCTCCTGGAGCACTGAGTAAAGAATAAGGACCTTGAGAACAGAGCTAACAATTAGTGATGATTAGATATTACGTATGATGTACAATCCTCACAGTAGAGAGCGCTATTTATGCAATAGCGAAAATCAGACCTGAAAAAAATCAGGCCTGTACGGGATTCGAACCACTGACCTCTGCGATACAAGTGCAGTGCTCTACCAATTGAGCTAACAAGCCAACTGGGAGCAGGCCGTTAAGTTGATTCGTAATAAAACTGTGATGATATATTTGCTATTGCATAAATAGCGCTCTCTACTGCGAGGATCGTGCATCATACGTATCTATAACCGCAGTTCAATACATGAAGTTCATTATATGAACTTCATGTATTCGTTGTATCTGATTAGATATTAGAACTTAAGTTAAAAGTATTAGTCTAAGAGTTATAACAAATGATGATTTAAGTTGATCCTTACATTCAATGTTAGTAGTTAGACATCATTTCTTGGCAAGGGTATTTCTATTTGATTATCATTGCAAATCTTATTAGGTCAGGTGAAGGATTTGGACCTGCTCTCGGCCTGTATCTTGGAAACGGAATAAGAAAGGACATGGAGGCAGCTGTTAGAGGAAAACAGGATTTGGAAGAAATGCAACAGTTGCTTGCTAGAAGCTCAACTAATCTGATTGCGTAAGTTGGTTTATGTAATATGTTTGGCAGGGAAAAAATTGAATCAAGGTAAAATGCAAGTACTGTCACTGATAGAAAAAAAAAAAAAAAGAAAAAAAAAAGTCTTTTTATAGGATTACACAATTACTGGTGAACCAGTAGTTTCCATTGTGGTCCTTGCAAACAAATGAAACAAGTGGTCTAAATTGAACATAACATCATTAAGAACATCATTAAGAACCCCAACTGGCCAGAGGCAAACCAGTTGGATATTTACAAGCATGGCCAAGGATCCGAACTCGGGGCTACCGTGAAACAAACACAGTGGTCAGGGTGGGACTCAAACCCTGGAGTGGCAGATTACAAGTCCGAAACTCTAACCACTCAGCCACACTGCCTCCTTATGATGTTATTGTTTCTTAACAAAATGCTAGAAATGAATTCAAACTACATGTTTGATTATTTACTGAAAGTCTCCTGGCCGTTGTCAAGGTTGGAAATCTGATACCAGTAATTTTGGGAGTGCTTCTAATGAAAACATTAGAACACAATTTTTTGTAATGGATAAGTAATTATTATTTTTTACACAGAGAATTGCAGTTTTTCTTGACCAGAGTGAACATGTTGCAGAATGTTTTTGGTCTTGGAGACCAACATAAGCTGGTACATTCGTTTGTAACATTTTATAAATTGATGCTCATGTTAAGCACTTTACAAAATTTTCTTGAGTTGATGCGTTCATTTTTTTTGTTATATTAGTTGTTGATTCTTGATAACTCATGACGGTTGACTACAGATATTGAGCTTTCCCATTTTGTTGCCCTGGCAGTTAACTACATGTATGTTCCGGCCTCCCTGATTCTAAAGGATTTTTTTGCTATCCTTTGCCATGATACCTTTGTGGCATAATCCATCAATTTTGGAAATGTGCTTGGTTCACTTCTACATCTGGGTTTAAATTTCCAAGCTAAATCAGGTTCAAAAGGACTAGAAAAAAGAGTATTGCCATGGAAAAAATTTTATAATAACCATATTAATAATTATTGTGTGTGATTCAGAACTATTGGTTGACCTGTAGTTTTATTTGCTTCTATGACATAAGAATTGGGATTAGTTTAAGTTTAAGTTTCAGTTTAATTTGTTCGCCACAGGAATGGCAAGAGAAAGGAACAGAACTTTTAGTCCAATTGACACCTAACCCCTTTTTTACCCACCCATCCCTCCCCGGGGAGGACATCCATCACACAGTAATCTCTTTAGAGGGAAATTAACGTCTCCTACCCCAACCCTGCAGGAGACGGGACCTCCATTTATCGTCCCTATCCGAGAAGACTAGAAAGTCTAATCATTTGCAGATATTATTACAAAGGCAGCACTTTCTTCTCAGTTAGTTAAAGACCCCGAGTGTTGGTCCGGCCGGATTTGAACTCACGACCTCCCGCACAACAGTCCAGCGCTCTACCAATTGAGCTAACAGGGAGGCAGTTAGCTCAATTGGTAGATTAACTGGTACACGTACCCTGTGTACAACTGACTGCTAGGGAACGACATTATCAGTTCTCTAATTTTAAGAATTTTATTGATCTCAAACTCAGATGTCCCAGAAAGTAACAGATATTTGAACGCAGAAATGACTGTTACTAGCTAGTAGTTTTTGACTTTTTAAAAAATATATTCTATTTGTACATACCCCATCCCACAATTTTAAGGGGTGCAGATTTGATTGTGGTAACACAGTTATTGTTGTTGAAGGTGTAAATTGCTGAATGCCTAGCACCGCATTAAATGTAATTATTTTTTCTAACTCATTGCTTTGGTACAGAGATGCTCGCTTCCAGAACATTCAGCGAAAGTAAGTAATTTTCACTGTCCATCCTTCCAAATGATAAAATATGTTAATGTTGACAAACTTCAAGGGTTCAGAGGCTTAAGAGATTCCCTTCTGAGTATCTGCTTATGGGAACTAATAAAAATGAGGAAAAAAATATCAGTCAAAATCCCTAGAATTGTCCAGGAATATTAATGCTAACATGAATTACACTGTATGGGAATGACCCCATACATGAAAATCAATGTTTTTTTTTAATTTCAAATGGGTTTTTTATTAAAATGTTGTTGCAAAGTAAATTGTTGATATCTGAAAACATGAACATTTTCTTTTCCTACATGTAATTTGAGTCTCAAAAATTTCTTCAATCTGAGATCTTTATGTTCTGGTTAGAAGTGCATTGCATTTGTGCTCTACAGTGACTTAACTGTCTTGTCTTTAATAGGAGGAGCCAACTTTCAAGTTAATGATGGATCTACTAGCAGAAAGCATTGCAGGTGCAAAATCGTTACAAGCACAGGTGAGTCTGTACTATTCCATAAGGCTGTCTTATTCAAGACAATGAGACAGAGTGTGTCTGTGGATCAAGGGATCCTGCAATGTCAGATGAGTAGTAAAAGTTTCATCAAGTGTAAGACTGTGAGAGTTAATTTGTAATTTGGTGTACTTTCTACAGAATATTTATGGCCTACATGTAGCAGCACCTTCCCCTTGTGGAGAAACAGAGCCTCCCTTCCTTCTGTTTCTCCACAGGGGAAGGGTGCAGCTATGCATAGGCTAGAATATTTCACATAATTATAGATGTACTACACTCCTAAATGTATGCAGTCGATTTATACCAGGAAGAGTCTTATAGTAAGGCCAATTTGGATCACCAGAAGCTTAAAGAAAATAATGTCAATGAAAGACTTTGCTTAAAAAAAAACTAATAATGTTGCATTAATGTTGTACTGCTGTGCATTCATTCACTTGCTGCTGTTACCCAAACTAATTTGTGTGGTCATAGCGTTGTTGTAAATATTATTTTGTAATAAATATTCCAGTCCTTATATCTAAACCCCGGATCACATTAATTCCTTGGCCCAGTTGGATAAAGGGTGGATAGCGCTATCCAATGGATAAATTTGCTATTTGGCAGATAAGTGATGACAAAACGTATAGCATTATCCACTAGAGAGAGTTTTATCCAGTGGATAGTATTACCCAACCTTTGAAAAAGTGGGACTTGGCCAATTTACAACATGGTTATCACATCAATTTTTCCACAGGCTATCAATGCCTTGAAAGAAGTGGCCAGTATTAACCAGGAAGAAGAAAAGCAGGAACCTGAGCGCCGAACCCGTATCTTTGAGGTTAGTCTCTTAAGACTTCTTTTAATTATCTTTGCTTGATTATTAAATGTTATTCAGAAATAACAGAAAAAAATTCATTTTTTTTCCTCTTGTTTATTGGCTGTGTTTGTCTTGTTTAAGCGAGAAGTTGATTGGAATGCTGAAGAGGAGACTGAGAAATTCTACATAGGGCTCAAAGTAGAGTAAATATGAACTAAGTCAGAATAAAAATTTCAGCATTTAGGTTTAGCATCTATTACGTATAGTATTTATATTGTATTATTATACATATACCGGTTTGGAGACTTTAATAAGTGATGCCAGTAGGCTCCATTTTCACCATTATTTAAGGTCCAGTTTTCATCTGTGGGTTCCTTTGCTGTATAACTGTTGTACAGCTGAGTTTAGTAATAAGGGAACCTGTGAAAGTGCTTATTCAGCTTTCAGGCTCTCAGTGTTTTGTACAGTCAGAGACAAACTGTGAATGACAAAACTAACCACAAGTAAGAGCAAACACCATTATCACCTATATTTTACTATTAATATCAATCTAGGTTCTTACACAGGGAATGGCGTCCTCAAGTTTTAAAAACAAAGTGTACATCATGGTAAATTTTGCTGAAGGTAAATGTGTTAATTGGAGGTTAAGCCCCATTATTAGTTTGCCATCTGTTAGTTCACCTACACCAATGAAAAATAATGTCTCAATATGGAACATATTTTCTCCTTTACCAAAAGATTACAAGAAAAAAAACTTGTGTTGCACTTTTTTATTCTTCCCAAGATGTGCATGCAGTTATTTTTTGAAAAGTTGCATTCTTTAATTTCATTGGTAAAATTAGTATATTTCATGTACGTTATGTATACATACATACATACATACATAGTTTTTGCATACTTTATTTGTCACGGAGGTCGATAAAAGGCAGCTAAAAAGCTGATGTGGACCTATAAACTAAAGTGTATCTACAAAATTTAAATAATAATAATAACAAACTTGTGAATTTATGGTAAGTAAGAAAAGATGTAATGCCCAGTAACATAATTGACTGTAGTGTTAAAAATGAATAAAAATAAATAAAAATAAATAAAAATAGTAAAATAACATTAATATATGTAATTTACAATGTCTTTATTTATTCCCTGTAAACCCTTAAATGTTATTTTGTCTAAAATGTCAGTTTTTGCTTTAAGAGAAGATTTAAAAGAAACAATGTTTGATTTGCT